TATATATATATATATATATACCTGTTTGATTTGGGATTTAAATGGCAAATCCTAATCAAAAACGACAGCAATCTGTCGTTATCTTAGGCCAATTTAATCCTAACCAAATGAGGCGACTAACTAATCATCTTCTTTTTCAAGGACCTGGGTGCAAAGAAAATGTTTCAGTTCAGGTGTTTATGTCTTCAAGACATGCCTGTAATCTATGTAATATTTCATCAGGATTCCTTCACATATATAGCTGTGTACCATCAACAGTAGAAGGGAATCCCATGCTGCCATGTATATATCTATATATATATATATATATATATATATATATATAGATATATACACACGTATCTATATACACATATATATAGTAATACAATGGAGATAAAATGGAACTATGTTTTTTTTTCAAAGCTTATTAAATCCTCCAAAATATCTCATGTAGTTGTGATGAACTTGTCGTATGTTTTGCATGCGTAAAGTTATTGGGTTGTCACAGTGTATATAGCCATCTAAGCTGTAATAGCTGAAATCACATTAGAATTAGCCAGACTGTTTGTGTCTTTCTTGGTCCCTTAAGCTTGCTTAAGTATATGTTGAATGTTATAGGATATTGAGTTTGAAGTTTTTTGTATGGTTTCATATGCACATTGATTTGGGTTTCAAACATTTCCTGTGGATAAATAAGCTCCCAGGTTTCTTCCTAAATAAGGAAACAGAGAGGGCCCATTCGTTTGGGTACATATCTGTGCCAAGTGGTATGGAACTAATCTCCACTGAGTTATTTCTCATTAAACACAGGCCTCTGAGAGAAACATCAGTGTATGGACAGTAGATAGGGACAGCAGAGGAACTGTATGTTCTTGCAGATGGGCTTTATTTAATGTTGGGCAGAAATAACTTTCTGACAGTTTTATTGCAGTCCAAACTACATGGCTAAGTAGAGAAGCACAAGCCCTTTGTGCAAATGGCAGAAAAGTTGTGCTTGGAAGAATTTGTCTCTCTTGCTCTTGCTGATTGACAGACTCAGACAGGACCCAATGGTGGCTTTCAGTAGTACTGAAGTGCTGATTCATGCGCCAGGCAGAACCATGCCAGACTGCTCAGCAATGCTGGGTGTAATTTTTCCGCTGACTGATTAATGATCAGTGTCCATATGGACACGGAGCAGTCATGACTACAGATGGAAGACTAGCTCTGATTGTTGGAGATGGAGTTAAGTATGACTACAAATCAGGCTTCCTTTGTGCTGGGAAGGTGTTATGAGTTTTCTTCTGTTTGAACACCCTCTAATCTTCCTGCAGTTCCAGAGTAATAGAGCTGGCTTTATTGCAACTTCCGGGACAGTAGTTTGATTTTAAAACATTGTTATACATCTTATACTAAGCATTAGTTAATGCTAAATATAAATTGTGTTTTGTTTTGATTTATTCTAGAAGTGTAATATCTTTACATTAGTATACCCCTCAGTTTTATATTCCCTTCATAATGAAGTTATAAGAGATTTCAGAGAAAGAAACCTGTAATTGCAAAGATTTGGCAGTTTTATGGCAACTTTTAAAAAATATAATGCAAACTAAACTTAAGGGGCCCCAAACTGAAAAATTTCAGTTCGACTTCCTTCCTGTTATTTATAAAGACATAAATCAGCAACATCACAGAGCTTTCCCCTGATAATACCTCTGGAGTTCTAGAATTTACTCCTTTAGGGTTCTGCTGCCAATGTTTTGGTGTGACTTCCTCATAAAGACCAGTACTCATTTACTTACCAATAGACTAAACCACACAAAACTATGCATGTAAAAGACATTAAGATCATAAAACTTGGAACAAGATGTGTTTAAGAACAACTAAACTCTGGTTGTAGGTGAAAGGATTGTAATGCTGCATTATCTTGTTAAGCAAAGTAAAATAGAATGTTATTTCAGCTAGATCGAAGCACATGTAAGTAAATTAAAACAAGATCTGGGATTCAAATGAGAACAAAGAAAAATATAGATTAATTGTGCACAAGGTAACACGATGCAAGTTTTTATTTCTGTGTTGATGATCATGGTTTAGGCCTGATACAAATATATATATTTTTTGGCTAAGATTGAAATAGCATGTCAATGGTCTCTTTTTATGTGGATTGCATTTATTGAATTAACTGCTTAATTCTGTGTATGGCATGTTTATTTATTTTTATACTATAAGGGGATCTATTCATTGCCTCTATTCTTTCTTTGAAATTTTATCTGTGTATCCATCAAGGGATTTGAACTTCATGGCTGTGATTTAAAAAAAACAGTTTGTTGTTATGGGGGATGTTTTGATTTTTTGTTTGTTTTATTTTACAATTGATGACATGATGAGGTAGAATTAAAGCAATTACTGTTTGGTTGAGCTCTATGTTAAACAGCATCCATTTCTAACCTAAGTTACCGTTCATTTTTCTCTTATAGGAATTTAAAGCTAAGAAATAAAAAAAAAAAAATTAACACCAATAATAATAAACAAAAAAAGAATATTTTTATACACACAAAAACATCTTTACTGTCATCTGAGCTTGCTAAAAAGATTTTATGTTTCCATTCAAACATACTGGATCCGTTTTTATGCTATTGGCATGTAGAAATTCAAAATGTCTGCCCAAAAAACTGACAGGCATAATGAACCCAGGCCGTGTCTTTGTCTCAGTCCTTCAGCTTTAAGATTTACTCCACAGCTGACAAGGCATATAAGAATAATGGACAGAACACTGTTTCTCTGCTGTCCCAAGTGTATCCAGTTAACAATGGGATTCTCTCACTTTAAAGATTTAGTTCAGCTGTTTTGTCTCATGTTTTTTATTGCAGCATTGTCATATCTGCTTAGTTGTTCCTCTGTGTTGTGTTAGATGGAGTCAGAAGGAGGGTTTGGATGTGTGGGAGCTTTGATAATAAAAAGAGAATCCAATGCAGAGTTTTTTTATGGGGACTGAAAGACCTGGCCTGCACTGCTCTACCTTAAACTGCATTACACTGCATGCTGCTGTGTCTGCTACACCAACTGGCAGTTTTTGCTGAGTCAGAGAGTTATCACCTCGCACTGATGAGTAAGCCACTTTCTCAACACTGCCTCTCCCTGGTAGACTCTGCAGATGCCAAAACGGAAAGGATTGCAAGAGGATTTGCAAAAAATAGCCATCATGAAACATCTTATCATGTCTCTCTTTCCTACTCAGTGCAGTTTCCAAGGCTGATTGATGCATGACTTGTTTCTTAATCATTGTGGTGGCTAGTGGTTAAAGCTTGTTCCACCATTTTTATTATTATAGTAAATTGCAGATTGGTTCTTGTTAGCAGGAAGCATCCTCTCTTCTCTAATTCTCTGCAGATGTTCTCTGAGCTGGCCCTACTGTTTCTATCGTCTGCATTTCTTTGTGGGAATTTTTTTTTTTTTTTTGCTTCCTATACTGCCTGTATTACTGTACATTGACACAAAAAAAAGGATTTACGGCAATGTGATCTTATCATATACTATTATGAATACTTAATATGAAGGAGTCAGAACATCTACAGAATTGATACATGTTAATATTAACCCTCTTCTTTTCTTTTCTGATTCACAGAAAAACTCTACAATTCTACCGGACGGGAGCTACGCAGAGCTCTTTTTTCTCTGAAGCAGATTTTCCAGGTAACATCTTTGGTCTTTTTGCTGTTTGGGGTTTTGCAAAAACATATATATGACACCTGATAAAATGTGTTGCAGCTATTCACCATCAGAATAAAATAAAGTCTTTCTGTGCAATTTAACCTCAATCTAAATGCAGCAGCTCTGTGAAAGCCTTCAGGGTTCATAAGAGAACAGAGAAGCAAACATTTTTCAGAGCATTCCATCGTCTGAAAATGGAAAGATAACCTCATAAATGGCAGGTCAGGAAAGAAGACTTATTTAGGGAACAGGCCAGGGTGCTAAACAACTCAGGTGGAATCACAAAAAAGTGATGGTGACTGCCTCTTGAAGCTCATCAACAGAATGCCAAGAGTGTGCAAAGCAATAATCAAAGCAAAAGGTGGCTACTTTGAAGAACCTAGAATATAAGACATATTTTCAGTTGTTTCACACTTTTTTGTTAAGTATATAATTTCATATGTGTTAAGTCATACCTGTGATACCTTCAATGTGAATCTTCAATTTTCATAGTAATGAAAAAAAATAACTCTTTCAATGAGAAGGTGTGTACAAACTTTTGGTCTGTACTGTACATTGGACATATTTGAACATACATGGTGTGGACTAAAGAAATCCAGGTTGTTTGGGAATGTTCCTTGCATGAAGCAAAGCCTTTTCCACCAGAACCGATTTTAGACACTATAATAGTGGTTACAATTCTGTTAGTGGCTGTTTCATGTAGTGATTCAAACTCCATCACTCTTCATTTGCTGCCAATCTAGCAATGCAGCTTAGCCTTGACATTAACAGTTAGATAAAGCTCATTTACTACAAAAAATAGCTTTGCATTAAGACCTGAATGAAATTATCAACTGCAAAAAAAAACATGGACCAGGAGAGTAGAAGCATGACTAAAACAGCTATTCTTTAAATTGGATGTTGTACAAATAATGGCATTCGGAGATAGTTTCTGCATAATTTTGGGTATACAGTATACCTGCTGATCACATAGACGATGGTATATAGCTGCAACATCACAAACTTTGAAACGGTTATTTGCATTGCACTGCGATAACATTTCCCTTTAACGAAGGCTTTCAAAGTTGGGTCCTTTCCACAGTGCTTATTCATTTGCAAGTTTTTGCAGCAGTTCATGCTTAGCTGTTAAAATGCAAGAGATATATGTGGTGTGAAAACATGAATCAGTGCACACTCAGACTTGGACACAGTACTGTTTTCTTAAGGCAGAGCTGTGCTGCTGAGAGTCTGCCTTCGTGGCAGCTGTGGAGCTTTACAGGTCCAGTTACGGTGTGGGAAGAAAGGCAGCACATTATTAGGCCACAACAGAATATATCTAAAATATATTTCCATAATAGGTACCTCTAAAGAATTTCTGAATGTGTACTTCAGTGTATTTCTTTATATTTAGGCTCTGTACCAAACAACTGCACTCTCCATCAGTGATATATGTTAAAGATGTTCTGGAAGCACTTAGACTTCCTCCAGGGACTCAAAAAGCCCTGACCACCCCACAGTGTTTATTGCTACCTTCCTCCCTATCCCATCTGAACAGTAGAATGTATAAGAAAGCGGTAAATCCTGCAGAAGTCCTGATGCTGGGTCTTAAATTACATAGTCACAGACAGGTGTGAGAAAAGCAGGTGGTTTTACCATCAGTTACAAGATGTTGGATATGTTTGGCATCCCAGAACAAAAACAAATTGGATCCAGCCAGCTCCAAGAGGACTGCCTTGTTTATTGTACGCTGATATCTGTGACTTGGTTGAAAAAAAAGATGTATATTTTTTATTGATCCAAAATTTAACTGTATTTTACTTTATGGAGATACTGTGCAACATGGCACTGTTATATTTAGCAATATTTGACCTGGATTGTTTTTAAAGTGGTTAACATCCTTTAAAAATGATTTAAAATCAAAATCTATATCACAGTAGTTTTAATATTTTGGCCAAGTGTTGTTCTCTAGCTGCTACCTTTTAAATAACAGCATGACCTCTTGTTTAAATACAAATATAGTTTTAAAGGCTCACATGAGGCATCACAAATAAGCATAGTTCATTTTAAGATTCACCTAAAACATTTCTTAAAACGGGTTCAATTTAACAGACATCATTCCAGACAACCGCTGAATGTGTTTCCAACGTACCACTACTGTTTTATGGCGTATTGGCTACGTTTTGATATAAAAGGGGGTTCACAGGAGGAAAGTGTCAGTTCTCCTTCAGACTGCATCGACATCATAGGGTGAGCGAGAAGGTGAGTGTGATGGATCCTCCTTGCGTTCACGTCTATGGCCTGCTGAATCTTCTGTGACTGCAAACCTTCTTTCTTTCTTTTTCTTTTTATTTGTTCTTTTTCTTTTTTTTCTGGTGGGCGGTAAACAGCAGTTTAGTTTATCCTGCAATTAAAGAAATCTTTCCATGCAGGCCAGGCACCGGACATTTCATGGGTATTATGCTATTATGCATAATAGCATTGTCATTGGATATTCGCTCTGTACTCATTATGAATACGCTATGTATAAACCCAAAATTGAAAAAATACATACAAAGTTCAGCGATTCTGGGATGTCAGGCATTAGCTGTCTAAATCTGAAAGGCCCTAACCAGGTGAAACAACTCGACAAGCAACCGCGTTAAAATCACCTCGGCTCTGATCAGAATGCTGTGGGAATGCCAGACCCAGGTCAACTCGCTAATTTACGTGATACCACTGAGCACAAGATATGGATGTCAAGACGCCAGCCATGTCGGATATAACATGCTGAAACCACTCTGCCAACAATCGATAAACATGGTGCATTATTGGTCAGAGAGATTCGGACAGATAAAAGTGTGAAACAGTAAAGCACACTTACTATGCCCTGGCTTGCTTACGTGTTGCTCTCCATTGTTTACTTTCCTGATTTCTGTCAAACTGATGACATCATCAATGCTACCTATGCGTGATGGCATCACCAGACATGAGCTGCGGGGGGAGATAGGTCATGCAGCTTGCCAGCGGGGGGTCAGACCCAGCTTTTTTTTTTACCAATGGGAAGGGAGCCAAATGCCGATTGCTAGCAGGATAATCTATGTTTGGAAAACACACTAATTTCAGTGGGAAAGAGGCTTTATTAAAGGGATAGAAAAGTTCAAAAGTGAATTATCTGACCATGAGCAAATTTCTGGGTTTTACTGAAGAAGGGCATCCAGAGAAACTAAGATGGAACCCTACCATGTCAGACATGCCAAGTCTCACGGAAGTTCCGAGAGTCTTCCTGATATAGATAGTTGTTCACGGATGCCCGCAAGTCAGATAAATTATCCTGGATTTTAGACTATGCAAGGTGTGGTTTATTTAATGCGAGCAAGAGAGTGCGTTCAATACAATAATTCGTGCACCATGTGCAGATTAAAACTACTGCGATTGCGTAGACAACAAGAGTGCACAGAATGTGGGAAGGAGGTTGCTTGTGAAACCTGTGCGTATCTGTCTAAAGTGATGCTCTGTTCAACGAGCGTTCTAGGCAACTGGTTGTCAGGGAGCTCATTGGATCAGTCCAATAATTTTCGATTTACTCTCTGGCAGTCGCCTAGTTACCACTCAAAGCTGTGCACCCTGTAAAAAGGCAAAAGTTGAATCCTTGAGTAAAAAATGAAAATATAAGACAAATTTTACAGCAGAATATACTAAAGTATATCCATGTCTAGTGAAGGTGAGGAACAGTGGCGGATCTAGACCAAATTTACCAGGAGGAGAGGAGGGGGCCAGCGTGTTTTCATGGGGGGACAGAAAAGCACGAAATAAAAAACAGGGCAAGGGATTCAAATTATTATTTAGAGAGTTGCATGAAGTGAAATTTCTTTTCAATTAGGTTCAACAAAAATTTTGTTTCTTATGAGGTCAATATACATTTATAATTTAGGAATTTTACATATTTTTGACTTAATATATAATAGATGGGGGTTGGTGGTGGGGGGGGGATAAGCATGTCCCTGAAATGAGTTTTGCCATGCCATCAATGGGAGGGTGTGTTAAGGTTGTTAGTTTTATGTCACATATACAGACTTTATTTTTTGATGACAGACTCTCAGTTAAAAAAAAGACCAAAATATCTAAGCAGTTCCAGGGTTTCTTTGTTTTTTCTACAGTCTCTATCTACAAGTTTCGTAGCAGTATCTTGCAAATTGTAAAAAAAAAAAAAAGTTTTATACCCTATTTTTATCCTTCTCATTAGGTTGCACACTTTCTTCATAAATTTGGATTTCAAGAAAAATACATTTATCTGTTTGTTAGGGTAAAACATTTTTCTCCTGTTTATAAAACAAATATTCAACTAAAATATGTTTCTTTAACTTTGTTTATGCAAATTGTTATCAAAAGAGTCATGCAGTATCTCTGTCTCAATTCACAATTTATTTAGCTGGACAAAGAGCAAGACTTTCCTTATGATAGTACAAGTTGCCAAACTCTATTTTGGACTACAGACTGAACTAACCTATCAAATAGTATGGTTAAAGTATGGGATATTGGTATATAAAAACATGTTTTTGTAAAAAATCTAAAAGCCATTGTAAGGTTTGCAGAGAGAGGCAGAAACCTTGTTGCTTAAAAATGGCCAGTTAAGCACACCAAAATTATAGAGCTCTGTTTATGTTTTTCCAAAAAGGACTGTTCTTTCACTTTAAAGCAGAAGAGTGGGGGCTCTTATTTCCTCCATCACAGCAAAAACAAAACAAAGAAACAATAAAAAATAAAAAAACACCCCAGCTTTTAAAGCGTCAGCCTGTACTATCTCTAATAAAAGGGGTGGAAACCTTTACAACATTTACATTTTCTATTTGGGAAACAATCAAGTAAATTAAACCTCTAGAGGAAAACAAAACAAAAACCCATTTATATTAATCGTGAACAAATTGAAGCTAAGCAATTATGTAAATCCAAAGAAAACCCAAAACATCTCCCCTCCCTCTCAGTCAATGTGGATTTCCCTTATGAGGCTGATTGGAAACACCAGGTCCTTGTCAGCAATGCTCATGGGTGTGCTTCCATGGCAACACCTGGTGACCTCAGAGTGAAGGAGAGTAGTGAGATGTTCTTAAAGTTACAATAATGAAGACAAAGACTTAAACCTTCCCCCAATACTCAATTTTTTTAAAAGACAGAAAATGCATGTTTCCATCACCTGTTAGTGAGGGGGTAAATCTCTCACAGCCATGCATCATTTTCCTTCCATTAAACAACTGTACACTACCAGGTACTACATGTTGGCCTGCCCCTAAAATACATCACATTGTGACAATAACAGTGTAAAAGTTTGTGAATGCTTTTTATTAATCTATTATAAGATGGATTAAAAATAAAAATATGATATATGATTGTAATCTTTAATCAACTACCTTGGCTTTATCAAACTACTTAGTTTTTATACTAAGACTCAAATAATAGATGTCCTCAATAACGCACAGAATGGATCAGAGCAATTTCTACAAGATTAATATTAGTTTTCATTGGTGTATGATATGTCACAATAATGACATACATACTTCTAAGAAGTAATGTGTAATGGAGACTATTTTATATTACTGGAATGAATGATGAGCACATATTGTGAATTATGACTAACTGATTAAGGGCTGCACGGTGATGCAGTGGGTAGCACTGTTGCCTTGTAGCAATACGGTTCTGGGTTCGATTCCAGCCTGGGGTCTTTCCGCATGCGTACTCCGGGTACTCCGGGTACGTCCTTTAGGTTAATTAGCTTCCGCAAGTTGTGCTTAGGTGTCAATGTACGTTTGTGTGTGTGCGGATGGTGGTTGTGCATTGTTGTGTGTCCTTGTGTGTTTCTTTGTTGCCTTGCGACAGACTGGAAACCTGTCCAGGGTGTAGACTGCCGGAGATAGACACTGGCCCCATCACGACTCAGCGTGAGAAGATGATGGATGGACAGAGTAATTGATCTTAAAATTATTTTTTTCTTGGTCTATCTTTTTAGGATGACAAAGATTTGGTTCACGAGTTTGTGGTGGCTGAAGGACTGACATGTTTGATCAAAGTGGGAGCTGAAGCGGACCAGAACTACCAGAATTACATCCTCAGGGGTATGTACACCAGTAAATAACAGGGCTCCTTCCTTTTACCTCACCACAAGGATGTTTCTAATCAGTCCTATAACAACTTTTCTTTCCATAAACCCATCAAGAGCCACATGTGTGCATGTAAACTATGCAAATTGATGATTCTGCCTGATGACCTTGTCCCACAGACACACACAGTTAAAAAAAAACACACATTCTCAGAGAGTGTGTGCTGCAAATATGTGCTGTGGTTTCGTTAGGTCAAATGTAGCAGCTGCCTAATTTATAGCTCCCATGATAGGGAGGTGAAAAATCCTTTGTGTGGAGGCTGAAGAGGTGAAGGACACCCTGTCTGTGGGTACTCGAAGACCACAGCTCTCACTCAGAAGTCACTACCATTTAACAGCCTGCTGTGAAAAAGGCAGGTCACACATGCTTTAGTGTCTAACAAAGTTCTACCAGGATATTACAGATCATAAAAATAATTCCCCTTTGCCTTGCTTTCTTTCATTCTTAACACCTATGTTCTTTTTCTTGAAATCTTGTCTTTCCATTCAGATATTTACCTTTTTTTCTGTTTGCGCTCAGTATTTAGTCTGTGCTTACTGTAACTCTGGATTGATGTAGGAGCTTATGACTAAATCTTGAGACAAATGTTTTGCATCACACTTGATGGTTTAGGTGCCTTTTATATTGTTATTCATCCGTTTGATGCACATTTAATATATATGTGACCTCATGTTTATTGGAGCAATTTTATAGTGCAAAAAGTTTGTTCTGTAAATCAACAACTCTTTAGTGCGGATGTGATCCCAAGTGTAAACAAGTAGCTGCTATTTTTTAGTAATCTTCTCTTTAAATTGAATTATAAATAGCTTATTATTATGAGACAGCATTAATGACATGCATGCTGTTTGGGCTGCAAAAGAGTGAGAGAGAACAACACTTTCAGCTGATAACAAGAAGGCTTGGGTTTCAGCTTTCAACTTCTGTCTATTATGTAACACATTGGCTGTAAATCAAAAAATCTAATCAAAGTTTATTTATATAGCCCTTTGCAGAACACCAAGAAGACCAAAGTGCTTCACAGAAAGATCAAGATAAAAACATCATTAAAACAAAAATCCTAAGCAAAAATCAGTGTGTTCTAAGTATTAAAAGCCAGTTTGAAAAAAATTTGTATTCATCTGGACAACAAAGACTTGAGAAATGTTGGCCAACTTTCGGAGATCTTAGATTATCCTCAGGGTATCTTAACTCAAGTTAATTAAAACTAAGCATAGGGTCATGTAATTTTGTAATGCTAGCTTTCTGTGCTAGCCACTGGAAAAAAATTGTTTAAGGTTGTTTAAGTCAAGAGTCTGTTCGCTTGGTCTTTATTCTAAAATATTAAAATAAAACAGTTCTACAAACACTTGGTCATCTTTATGGTCAGTCTCTTGCCTCTGCTTTTAATATAAGTTAATCAACAAAAAGTCTAGTGATATTCAGGATTCAAACTCCTGTAATTATGAACTTATTACACACTGATCAATAAATGATACGTTAATTAAGAGTAATTTTCATTTGAATGTGTTTTACTGGAAACATCCATGTTTGACAAAGAACACTACTGCCACCTTCCAGTTTGGGACGTCATGGTGCAATATCGGCTGTTGAGCAAGTCCCAGTGCTGTATCCGGTGTTTGCCAAATACAAATAATACAAATACAAATAATGATCCATTCATCATTCCTAACCTGACTTTTTCTTTAATGACAGGAAGGGTAAAAAAAACTTTTCAATGTTGTTCTTGAATATATTTAGTTTTGCTTCACAATATTAGAAAAAACATGATAAACATCATAATAATGGTAAATATTAAGATAGTGTTCTGAGTTTCAATAATAATCATCAACAATATTTAACAGTGTTAATGTCTTTATAATTTGGGTTGGTTATATATGTATGTAACATTTAAGTTTTTATGATTTAACCATCTCCAGAGCAAATTATAATGTAGTACGTTTTTAAATTTGACATCAAATAAGTAATATATATTTAGTACTTGCATTGAAAACCTGAATGGATAGAGTTAAGTAGTTAGTACTCTACTAATGTGTATTGCACCTCAGGCATTTCTTTGTGATATAGAATTTTTTTATATACTGTAAATATAAAAGTTGTTTTATAGTAGATTAAGATGAATCGGAAACATCTGAAGTTGTTGTGAACAGTACAATATTGTAGGGATATGAAACTGGTATTAACCATTTCTGATCAATGCATCTCTAATTAAATACATCAACCATCAATCAGGCTGCCTCTGCAGGGGTCTGATAGACAGTGTTTCTGGCTTCATGGGAATTTGCTCTGGCTCACATCCAGACTCATAAATACCTGCAGGTTAAATGGCCAAAACATGACGGCTGATGATTGTAACTGGATTTTGGAAGAACTGCTAGTGTCAGTTGACTGTGAATGATGAGTTGACCGTTCAAACAAATGTTCTCCCCTTTATTGGGTTATTCAAGAGAGACAGGATTGGTTATTTTGATTTCAGTTCAGTCCAACTAAAATAATAATAACCTCTCAAAGCTTTTCACAATTTACTTATTTTTCAACTAAAGTTCAATATGCTGTTTTGAAAGTCACTTTATTAAACCAACACAAATATGACATAAAAAATAGGTCACATGAAACCTATACCTTTTTATCATTCCAGAATCCAGAAAGTAAGACACTGATTTAATCTACAAATCATAATTTAGCACAAGCAGCTGCTTTCAGAGAGAATCTTATTTGCATGGCATTTCATGTACACTCTAAACTGCAATTGAGCTTTGTAAGGAAAGTTTGCATCACAGACACAAGGAACAAGCTATTTGCAGAGATAAACGGATCAATTGTGGGAATCTGTGTGTCAAGAAGTGTGTCAAAACTACTGCAAAACATGTAGAAAACAGAAAGTTGCTCTGTACTAGTTGAGTTTTGGCTTTAGAGAAAATGCTTCTCCATTGGGAAGCATAGGGTTTGCAACATTATGCTTTAAAGTTTTTTTTGCTCAGTAGTGAACTCCTGGAAGAAAACTGAAAGTACTTCAAACTTAGGCAGAGGTTAATCTTATATCAATACAATTACCCCAAACATACAGCCTGAGCTACCATAAAGTACTTTTTGTTGATTTGTCACATAACGTCCCATACAACGCATTCAACAGTGCAAATAAGCTGAAAAGTCTCAAAACATTAGAGTATGAATAACTATCTTATGAGTTGCACTCAATTCATTCTGTAGCTGTAATAGTGTTGTATTTATCTTCACAGACTACTATTTTCCTCATGTTTCTCTTCATCACCATGAGAAACACTCTCCCATAAGAATTTTTAAACTGTTTCAACTCTTGACCTAATTTCTTCTGACAAGCTGAGGAAATGTGGAGCGTAGTAGATCACCCTCCCTGTTTAGGGTGTTTTCTTGGAGAACACAAGCTGAGCATGAGCTGGAACCCATATGGTCAAGTCAGAAATGCGTATAGATCTGACTGCTCTGCAGTAGATGACTTTCAAGAGCAGCTAAGTCAGAGAGCTTCCCAAGATTGAAGTGAATTAGTCGTCTTAAATTGCCGCACGTTCACAGGATGAGATGAGAAAAAAAATGCAGGCTGTGTTTGATATTAAATACTGATCACCCTTAATGTGTTGTTTTGCTCTCTAATGTATTTCAATTTAAAACACTGGAAAGAAAAAGAGGAGAAGCAAAGAGAATATGGCCCTGAACCCATCTGTCTGGTGTGCATTAAAAACCTCCCCGACGAAACAATCCTGCTCTCTTTCATGAAGCTCCTTCAATCGTATGGGTGTTTTGTGGTTGGAAACGCCACACAGACGCACAGATGCTTAGCTGTCTGCTCCCTTTTCACAGGAACAGGTTCCTAGTTTCAAATCTGTGAAACATTTTGTGCTATCTCCTTTTCTCCCCTTCTTATTCTTTTTTTCCCCTTTATTTTGTCTTTGGAAAGCCCCCCAGAGATGTCTGTGGCCAGTTAGGGCTCACGCAGACCTTTTGGTGGCCCCTCACCCGGCTTAAGGGGCTTCGAAGACTCGACTCAGTTCTCTGAGAGCTGCAGTTTTTGGAGCTCAGGGGAGAGCTTGTGTGCCTTTATCATCGCAGCAGAAGTCAGTGTGTGAGGTCACTTCTTTAGAGGTGCCAATGCCATCTGGTTCTCTTGTAAACTTTGCAGTTAGTTATTAAACCTAGTGACGCCTCATTAAGATTGTTTAGTCCCTGTTTGCAAAAAACACACATCTATGCTCTGATATCAATTTCTTTCAAAGATTAACGATAAGACTTTTGAATAAATTCTAATTTTTATTCCCTCACTTTCTATAATGTAGCCAAATCTGGTGCAGGATAAAGGACGACATCTTGAAAATGCACTATATAGCTGCTTAATTAAAGAATTATTAAATGAATTATATATGATGAAGATCTGGTATGCCATGGGCCTTTTTCTCCTTCAAAGTTCATTTGAACTCTGTTAAAGTTTATTCCACCATGAACTTTTTGAAATATTAGAGTTCATATGAAAGAGTGATAGTGCCTGATAGAAACCTGAAAATAACGGGTTCTTTTAGTAGGGAAGTAGATGAAAGCCATGGCCAAGTTGACAGTTATAGTCCACCAAACATAAAAAAAATTACTGCCTCCCAAAGGTATATTAAAAAAAAAGTGATGTTAACTGATGAGAAGACTGTAAATGACAAAAAACATGTAATTGCTCTAGTACCCACTCAGACGTCACATTCAAGGTTTTCCACAAGGGGGCAAACCAATCATGTTGAAGGAGGTTCTCTGGTAGGTTTAGATCAAAACTGAGCGTTTGGGTCCACATACAATGCTCTGTGAGTGAGGGAAAACATAACATTGCTAATCATCCTGAACTTTCTATCGCTAAAGTAAAGCATGGTGGTGGCAGCATCTTCCTGAGGGGATGATTTTGACTGATGGGGATGACTGAGTGGCCAATCAGTTGATACATTTGT